CTTTCAAAGCTGGATTGAATAGTTTGGGTGACATAGTGTCACCCTGTCTAAATCGTCGTCGTATCTTAATAGGCTCCGTTTGTTCAACTATTTTAATGGATGTTGGTGCTTGGTCATCTTCTTCTTCTATTTCTTCAGCCTTTATTTATCCATTGTTGGACATAGTCCTCCAATTGCTTCCACGCTTCCCTATCTTTTGCAATTCTCATCCACTGTTTTCCAGCTACAACTGTTATATCGTCTATCCATCTCTTTTTGGGTCTTCCTACGCTTCTTTTTGTCTCTCGAGGTCTCCAGAATGTCACTTTATGAGACCATCTGTTGGTGTCTTGTCTTGCTACATGTGCTACCCATTGCCATCTCAATGTCCCTATTTTTCCCATGATGTCGGTTACTTTAGTTCTTCTGCTTGATCATATATATTGGAAATTAAGTCCGTATATCTATAGTCTATTCCTCCATTTTGTAAATAGTTCTTTACTGCCCAATGTTCCACCTTATCGAATGCTTTTTCAAAGTCTACAAATGCCATATATATTGGGATTGGATATTCGTTGGCCTTTTCAGTTAGTATTTTTATCGTAAGGAGATGGTCGCTTGTACTAAATCATTTTCTAAAACCGGCTTGCTCTCTTGACTGGTAATTATCTAACTTAGTTGTTAATCTGTTCGTTATTACTTTAGTTAACAGTTTGTACATTACATTAAGTAGCATGATGGGCCTATAGTTTTTCAGATATTTTCTATCGCCTTTCATAAATAGTAATAGTGCTATTGCCTCGTTCCATGTGGTGGGTATTTGTTTTGTGTTCAATATTTTATTCATTAGTACATAAAGAACTTCCACTGTACATCTTTCACAGGAGATTTGTTATTCTTCATTTCTTTGAGTGCCTTTTTTATTTAATTTTTATCTACTGATTTCTGATTGTAGGTCAAAGTTAACGTTCTTTATTTTCAGTTGTAACTGATTACGGATTTCTTGGGTTACTTTTTGTTCTGTTTTATAGAGATTTGAATAATATTCGACCGTTATATGTAAAATTTCGTTTATATTGTTGGTTTCCACTCCTTTGTTGTTCTTTATGCTATTAATTTGTATGTTTCCCAGGTTCTGCTTTAAGCACTTCATGTTTCTATTTTTTTTTTCAATTGGTTTCTCTATCTTTTCTTTCAGTACTCTCCGATGGACAAACAGTAAACCAAATAGATTATTTACTAATAGAAGCCAAACATATGAGAGCCGTAAAAGACAGCCGAAGTTACAGAGGTGCTGATGCAAATTCGGACCACTTTTTGGTCAAAGTTAAAATGGAGCAAATAATACCCACAATTAATAACACTAGTTGTAAAAAAATAAATAGATATAACGGTGAACTACTTCAGGAGACAGAAGTTAAGAAAAAATTCAGGCAGCAAATTGAAGAGAAACTGAAAAGCCAGACAACAGTAAATGATATAGAAAGCAGCTGGATACAACTAAAAGAAAAAATTCCAGAAGCAGCCGACTCAGTATTATCAGCAAACAGACAATATAAACAAGCGTATTGGTATGATAAGGATTGTAAGAAAGCCATTAGTGACCGAAATAAAGCTAGAATAAATAGCATAATAAGAAATAATGAAAAAAGATGCCTATGCCTATGCCGCAAAAAGACGGGAAGCAAAGAAGATCTGTAAAAGGAAGAAGCGGTCAAGTTTAGAACAGAAACTAGTTCGTATTGAAGAAGATTTTTTACATAAACAAGTCAGGAATTTCTGCCAAGAAATAAAACGAGACCGAACACAGTACAAAACCACTTCAAGATATTATAAAGATGAAGAGGAGAATCTGTTAGGTGGAACAGATGAAAAATTAAAAAGGTGGGCCAATTATTTCGAGAACATATTATGTACGGACGACCAAGATTAAAGAGTACTAACGCAACTACAACATGAAGAAGTAAGGGACCCAGATGTAAATGAAGAAGTTCCTACCAAGGAAGAAAGTATAAAGATCAAAAAAAACTTAAAAAACAACAAAGCACGTGGTGAAAATGGTATCATTGCTGAGTTTCTAAAAGAAAGTGGCGAAATGGTGCAAGTAGAAATCGCTGAGTTAATAAGCGAAGTGTGGATCAAAGAAAAGATACCCAATCAGTGGAAAGAAGCAATCTTATGTCCAGTGCATAAAAAAGGGAAGTTACAGAATGTAAAAATTACAGGGGAATAGCTCTACAAGATACAGTGTATAAGATTCTGGCCATCAATTAAAAATAAAATTAAAACAAAAGTTGAAAATTGTCTAGTTGAATATTCAGAGCAAACAGATCGATAATAGACCAAATTTTTACAATGAAACAAGTTTTAGCTAGCTCATATGAATTCAGCCTAACATTACACATGCTGTTTATTGATTTTAGACAGGCATGTGATACTATAAAAAGAAATAAAGTATATGAAGCACTAGAATATTTTGAATTTCCACCAAAAATAGTAAGAGTGACTAAATGCATACTCAATGATACTAAAAGTAAAGTCATGTTAGAAGGACGGGTTTCGAATAGCTTTATCACCAATAGAGGTCTGCGACAAGGTGACCTGTTATCAACAGATTTTTTTAATTTGATCTTAGAGAAGATTTTACGAGAATGTAACATCTACACTAGAGGCACAATATATCATCCCAGGCATCAATGCGTAGTATATGCAGATGATGTTACCTTAATATCAAGGAGACCTGCAGAATAAAGAGAAATCTTTTCTAGAATAGAGAGCATAGCCAGGGAATGTGGTTTAGAAATAAACGAAGAAAAAACAAAATATATGGTGATGAGGGGAAACGAAAATCATCTAGGACAGTCCTTTAAGATACAAAGCCCAAGTAAAGAATATAACTTTGAAGTTGTTAGCCAATTCGATTACTTGGGAGTGACACTAACAAATAGAAACGAAGAGAACCAAGAAATCATAAAAAGAATGGCCAAAGGTAGTAAGAGTGCTGGGAGCCTGACTAAGATACTGAGGTCAAAGATAATATCCAGAACAGCAAAAAAACGAATACATACAACAGTTATCCGACCTACAGTACTCTATGCTAGCGAGATCTGGACACTAAATAAAGATATGAAAGTAAAATTAGATAGATGGGAACGAAAAATTCTTAGAAGGATATACGGAGGTGTAAAAAAAAGGAACATCTGGCGAAGAAGAACGAATGAAAAAATAATGCAAATATATGGGCAACCAAAAATAACAAGATTCGCTAAAATTCAAAGATTAAGATAGCTCGAACATATAGAAAGAATAAGGGAAGGAAGAGTTCCCAATGAATTAATAAACACAGAGGCTAGTACAAAAAGAAAAAGAGGCCGCCCCCGAAGAAACTGGCTGGAGTCGGCAAAAGAAGATCTGAAATCGCTGCGGGTACAACATTGGAAAAACTTAGCACAAGATAGAAAGAAATGGAAAAAAACCGTTAAAGCCTTGAGCCTTTGAGGCATGTTAAGCTGAACTATATACTCTCCGTTTACACTCCTTGATATTTTTTCCAATAGTTTTGTATATTTCTTTGGATTCCATTTTATTTCTGTCTCCTTGTTCTAGTAATGTTCTTCTTATGTTCATAAAAATCTTTGTTTCCTGGGATATGAAACTTTCTTTTTTTGTTGTTGCCTGTGCTATTCCTTTACCGAATTTCATTAGTTTCAGTAAATATCATGTTTATTTCATTGATATGTTTGTATTCTATATCTTCCTTGGTCGACAATATTTCCTTTATTCTCTCTTCGCACGTCTGTTTTTCTTGTTTTACTTATTCCGTGTATAATTTCTGATTATTTTTCATTTTCTTTCTTGTTTCCAATCTAGTATTAATGATCAGCTTGGCTCGGACTAGTCTATGGTCGCTATCAGTTGAGAAGAAATTTAGGGCTGTTACGTCTTTAACTATGGATTTTTGCGTTGAGAGAGTATAATCAATTCCGTTTTTAATTTCACGATTATGACTAATCCATGTCCCTTTTCTTTGGGGTTTTTTCTTAAAGAATTTATTCATTGCATGTAGTTGCTTCTCCTTCAAGTAATTTATCAATGTGTGTCCTCTTTCATTTATTTTGCCGTATCCATAGTGTCCTACTTTGTTTTCTTCTTTATATAGTTGTTCTCCTGATTTGGCATTAAAGTCTTCGATTATTAGCGTTAATTTTGATTTCTTTTCTTCCATAGTTGTTGTAATGTCTTTGTAGACATGTTCAATATCTTCATCGCTGTAGGTACTTATTGCAGCGTACACCTGTATGATTTTTAAGGTCGTTTTTTTTTAATTTAATGTTTATGCTACTCTATCTGATATGCACTTGGTAGATTGTATGTATTTAATTACTTTTTTATTTATTATAAATCCTACTCCATTTTGGTGTTTTATATATTACCTTTATAGTATAGCAAATTTCCTGATTTTAGCTGTATTTTCTGTTCTCCTTTTCCTCCCACTTTGGATATGCCGATATTATCCCACTATATTTTGTTCATGTTCATGTATATGTTATACGTTCCTACATTTATTTTTGTCGAATATTTGCCTCCAACCAATAAATTAGTTAAATCCAAAATTACCTTTAAAGTTATTACGTAAATTAAAAAAATAATAAAGGGTCATTTGAGGACATCAATTTTGCATAAAAATTCCTTCCCTTCCCAATATAAATTGACATGAAACAAAACAACAAAAACTCTCGGTTTTTGAGTTTCTGTTGAGTCAAATTTTCGTTGAAGCACACTGTGTATTCATATAACGTCACCTATTTGATAATTAGTATTAATTTCTCCCAGTAAATTTTTTTATTTTTATTATTTATGTAATTATTTTAAAACAAATAAATGAATTTTTGTGCATTCTGACCGGAATAATGGCTATACACATATTATCTACAGAAAATGTTTAAGAGTGGCCAGTATTTTTGCTGTACAATGTACTAAGCCTAGTAAATAATAATAAATCATTTTATTATATGTCTTACCTCATTCCTGTTAAATATTTTCTTAGAGTGTTTTAAAATGCAGTATATGGTATTAGCAACTGAAAATCCATGAGTCCAATTATGGTAAGGCACTCTTCGGTAATTTTTCTTCACCGTAAGGGTAAATCGTAAAAGACAAGTCTGGTCAAATAGACTAGCATCAAATAAGTCGTTAAACATATGAATCGCTTGATTGGTTTTTTCCAAATCTTGAATATCGAATGAATTAAAATAGTAATTATCGATGCCAACCATTTTGCCGTGGTGTTTGGTTTTAAGTGCAGCCTTGTATTCTTCCTCCGTACAAGTATTGTGGTAGCTTAGAACATCTAATGCTACCTGAAACATAAAATTTTTATTTCAAATTAGGTAATGAATGAATAATTTAAATAATGTAGTGAATATTACGGTAAGTAACTAACTAAGTTCTGTTTTAGCATAAAACACGACAATACGGTAATGGCAAAGATCGGATGGATGATTTAAATATGGTGATTTCCGCTTCCTACATTTCACAGAGACTTTCTGACGGACCTCTGTAATATAAACGAGATACGTATTAATAATACATTTTTATCTCACAAAAAACAATACAAATACACTTTTGAAAACAGTAGAGGATAAAGATCTACGATAGACTATATTCTGTCGAATAGAGAGTTACAGCTTTCTCAAATCTTGTATGTAAGAGTATTTACATTATTGTTCAAAATGTGTCCGACTGAAAACACACATACAGGGTGAGTCATGAGGAACTTTACATACTTCTACCATATGTAGAGTCCCTCAGGGAGTATATCATGTGGCCACTAAAAAATGTCAACTCCTCTTCTTTATTAATTAACAGGGTGATTTGTGTAATTGACCATTTATTTCATTTTACTGTAGTGTTTATACGGCTCATTTGATTTTTTAATTTTTGCATGCTACAGTACACTACTATCAAGCATTCGACTGGTATTGGCTAAACTAAAAAATTCCAGGACTGGCTTCGGAAAAATTAATTTAGGGATTCGTATTAAATATTACACCCTGTATATATATTTTTTTAAATGCAATAATTGATTTTCAAACTACATAAATAGCCAATGAAAACGACATATGCGACAATCTTGTCGCACTTTTATTAAATTTGTAGTGAACGATCAAATCTTACCAAACATAGAACAACCGTAATGAAGTATCAAATTATAAGGTAATTAATTTACACAAATGTTATAAATTTCAAACATTTCAATTGAAATGATAAACTGAGTCACTGCACAACAAAAAACATTAACTACTAACAATAACGAAGAACAATTTAAAAAAAAACTAAAAATATGTACATAGTTATGATAAACCCATAAATTAGCACTGGAAAAGACACAATAATGGTAACAGAATAAAAATAATTCAAAATAGATTTTCGAAATGGAACCCTGCAGCCTGTACACATTTTGGTTGCCGAATTGTTAATTGACGTATTGAATTACGGATACTCTGGGGATCGTTTCTAATAGTATTACAACAATGTATAATTCTATCAATTAATTGTTGTCGGTTATTAATATTCACTGCGTAAACTAGTTGCTTCAATCGTCCCCAAATATGGTAATCAACGGAATTAAAATCAGGGGATCTTGAAGGCCACGAAATAGGACCTGCACGTCTTATCCACCTGTTGCCATAAACATTATTGAGATGTTGTCTCACTGCCAGTAAAAAGTGTGGGGGTGCCCCATCATGCTGAAAATACATCCCTCGGATAGGAACGTTCGCGTTGGCAAGCAAATTCGGCAAAATATTTTGTAGAAAGTTCAAATAGACCTGCCCTGTTAAAGGACCATCAAAAAAGTGAGGACCTACTAATTGGTTATTTATGACACCAATCCACACGTTAACCGAAAACCTTAACTGAGAACGACGTTCTCGAATAGCATGGGGATTTTCTTCTGCCCACACATGTGAAGTTCTTCTTTCATAGTGTCCTGTATAGCGTTGGTCGATTATTGCTAATCCATCTACAAAATTCCAACCTATCGATCTCATCTCCAGCATGTAGTCGCTGAACCATTTAAATGTGATATGGGTATAGATTATTTTTTTGTAAGACTCTACTTACTTTTGATTGAGTAACATTGAATTCTCGACTTACTTGTCTAGTGCTTATTGTAGGGTTCATAGTAACGGCGTCCATAATGTCATCTTCCTGCGCTTCATCTACATGTCGCTTTGTTGTTCCACTAGGAAAAGTGCCATTTTCTCGCAAATAATTAAAAACTGACCCAAACGTTGGATGACTGAGAGTTCGACGATTAGGAAACCTCCTGCGATATTCTCTATTAGCAGCCCTACCATTCCCATTACAGAATCCATAAACAAATATTATGTCTGCATATTCTGTGGTCGAAAACTGATGTGGCATTTTGAACGAAAGTAACAAAAGCTCTACCAAAACTAACACAATGTACTTAACGTAGATATGACAGAAGAAATATGTATTCTTGTACACATAAATACCAATTGATAATGAAAATAATGATAATGGGTATAAAATATCAAGAAACGTCAAAGGTCAACGTCAACCTTCATTTTAAACTTTTTTAGATTTATTTTTATTTAGTATAGTTGATGCAATGTATTATTATTTGACATGAAATTTTAATCATTTACAATCAACAAAAACTAACACATACAAGAGGTTTGACTTTTTAATCAATTTAATTTATTATTTATCGAAAATAATGCCCCAATACGATCTATGAGTAAAAATTTAAAATTGAAAAACAATTGATTCTATCGTAGAGATAATAGAAAGTGACAGTAAAGGATGAATACAAAGAATGTTGTAGGAACTCACTTTAATTAAAATGTTTGAAATTTATAACATTTGTTTAAATTAATACCTTATAATTTGATACTTCATTATGGTTGTTCTATTTTGGTAAGGTTTGATCGTTCACCAAAAATTTAATAAAAGTGCGACAACATTGTCGTATATATCGTTTTCATTGGCTATTTGTAGTTTTAAAATCACTTATTGCATTTTAAAAAAAATATATACAGGGTGTAATATTTAATACGAATCCCTAAATTAATTTTTCCAAAGACAGTCCTGGAATTTTTAAGTTTAGCTAATACCAGTCGAATGCTTGATAGTAGTGTACTGTATCGTGCAAAACTTAAAAAAATCAAATGAGCGGTATAAACACTACAGTAAAACGAAATAAATGGTCAATTACACAATGTGGTCAATCACCCTGTTAATTAATAAAGAAGAGGAGTTGACATTTTTTAGTGTCCACATGATATGCTCCCTGAGGGACTCTACATATGGTAGAAGTATGTAAAGTTCCTCATGACTTACCCTGTATGTAATAACAAAACACCAGAATACACCACAAAGATAAAAGTCGAAAGCTTACAGGATGACTCAACAAGATACCTATTCCAAAAAAGTATAACTGAAAAAAGCAGAAACACATATATCACACAAAGTGATGGAGTCGAAGAATGCTGGGTGAAAATTAAGTCTAATGTCTTGCCTCGTCCTTGGTCAAGGAAGTTCTTGGCGAAAGATATATAAATAAAAATAAATCGTTTCGAAGGCGAAGAACTCCATGGTTTTGCACAAAAGTAAAGGAAAAATATAAAGAAAAGAAAAAAGTTAACCTGAAATACATGTCAACCAAAACACAAGAGAGATACCATAATTAATAGGCAATTAGAAATGAAACACATGCACTTATAAGAAACATAATAAATAATCAGTGGGAACACTTTTTGAAAGAAATGGAACATGATTTTTACGGTCTGCAAAAGATAATCTTCTTCTTCTTCTCGTGCCACTTCTAGCGGGCACGCTTGATTGGAAATCATCGTGGCCACTGCGACTTTGTTAGCAGCGCGCCTAAAAAGTTCAGTCGAACTACACCCGAACCATTCACGTAGATTACGAAGCCACGATATTTTTCTTCTTCCCAGACTTCTTTTGCCCTTAGTTTTGCCCTGCATGATGTTTCTTAAAACTTCGTACTTTTCACCTCTCACAATGTGCCCCAAGTATTCCATCTTTCTAGTTTTTATCTCATTTAGAATTTCGCATCTTTTGCCTAAAGTTTGGAGTACTTGCGTGTTGTGACGCGGTCCATCCATGATATTCTGAGAATGCGCCTATAGCACCACATCTCGAAAGCTTCGATATTTTTTATGGTCAACTGTTTTAGTGTCCAAGCCTCAACTCCATATAACAGGATAAAAAAGACATAACACCGCAGCATTCGTATTCGTAACTTTATATTGATATCACGATTGCAATAGAGTTTGCGCATTCTATTAAAGACTGATCTAGCGATTTATATTCTACATCTAATCTCTTTTGTTTGATCAGTATCGTCTGTGATCCAAGCACCTAGATATTTATAACAGGGCACACGCTCAATCGTTGTATTGTCTATTACAAGATTAGCTCTGATGTTCTTTGATTTCGTGATTACCATAAATTTAGTTTTTTTCAAATTAATTTTCAAGCCGTAACTGTTACAGTATATATTCAGACTTTGAACGAGATATTGTAGTTCTACTAGCGTTCCCGTTAGGAGAACTGTATCGTCAGCATACCTTATATTGTTGATCGTCTCACCATTTATTATCAGACCAAGATCTTCTTCCTCGAGTGCTTGTTCACAGATAGCTTCACTATACAGATTAAATAAAAGTGGTGATAAGATACATCCCTGCCGGACTCCTCGACGGATTTGAATTTCTTCTGTTATTCTGCCCTCAACCTTGACATTTGCTGTTTGATTCCAATATAGATTGCATATAATTCGAATATCTCGGCTGTCTATATTTTTCTTTATTAGAACTTGTCTTAGTGGTTCATGTTGAACTTTGTCAAAGGCCTTTTCGAAATTAATAAAGCATGCGTAAATTTCTTGGTTCATGTCTAAGCATCGCTGTGAGAGAACGTTCATTGCAAACAGAGCCTCCCTTGTACCCAGCCCTTTTCTGAATCTCATCTGAGTGTTACTGATGTCTACGTCTAATTTCCTATAGATCCTATTATGGATTATTTTTAAGAACAGTTTTAGAGCATGACTCATCAAAGCTATCGTACGATATTCGTTGCATTTCTTTGTATTTGCCTTTTTTGGCAGTAGTATAAAGGTCGAACGGAGCCATTCCCTAGGTATTATTCCAGTTCTATATATTGTGTTAAATAGATCTAGGAGTATTTTAATAGATTCATCGTCCATAAGTTTGAGCAGTTCTACGGGAATTTCATCAGGACCGGGGGCCTTACCACTTTTTGCTTGTTTGATTGCATATTGTATTTCTTCTCTGATTATATCAGGCCCTGTATTATCTGTATATTCGTTTGAGATTTCTTGTCTATCTTTGTCATCAAACAGTTGTAATATGTATTCTGTCCATCGGTTCATTTTTTGTTGTAAATCTGTTATAATTATACCATCTGTATCTTTGATCTGTCCTGTCTGTGTTGTTCTTCTTCTTCCTGTCATTTCTTTAATCTTTTTGTGTACATTAAAAAAGTCATATTTTCGCTCCAATTGTTCCAACTCTTGGCATTGCTCACTTAGCCATCTTTCTCTAGCTTCTCTTATTTTCTTTTTTATCAGTTTATCTGTTTCTTTGTATCTTATCGGATTATTTGTTTTGTGTACCCTTTTTTCACGCATCAACTGTAGTATTTCCTCATTCATCCATTCTTTATGTTTCCTTTCTTTCGGTGTTAAATTTTCTCTCGCTGCCAACATTACGGCATGTTTAATATTCTCCCATTTTTGGTCTATGTTATCAGTATTTCTATTCAGTTTCTCTATATTTTGTAAATTTTCTTTGATGTTCACTATTGTTTTCTCTTTTATATGTTGTTCATTCAGTCTTCTCACGTCAATTTGTATCTGTATGTGTTTTTTAATGATCTTTAGTTTTATTCTTAATGTGACTACTACAGGATTGTGATTCGAGCCTATATCTGCTCCTGGGTAGGTTTTGCTGTAAAAGATAATACGGTCTTCATAAGAGGTTAAAGAATGAAATTGTACTGTTCTTTATCATTCCAGAAGTCCGATGATCGGCCTCTTTTCCTACCTCTATTAGAAATTTTTCTAGCAGGCATTTTTGGATAGGGCTGATATTTCTGATATCTTTAGATAGCTCCAAATCGCCTCGAGGCTTTCGAAATGTGCTATAGAAGAATTTTAAAAGTTTCCAGGGTGGAGAAGATTCGAAACTCCACAATACTAGAACGTCTCAGCAAGACTACTGAAATCATAAAAAGCATTAAGCAGAGAAAGCTGGAGTATTCCGAACATGTAATGAGAGGTCCCAAATATAGGTTGCTACAAAATATCATGCAAGGAAAAATACCAGGCAAACGCAGTCCAGGACGAAGAAGAACCTCATGGTTGAAGAACTTGCGAGATTGGTATGGTGTTGATACAAGGCTATTTAGCTATTAAGGGTGGCAGTGAATAAAATTAAGATAGCTATGATGGTAACCAACGTTCTGAAAGGACATGGTACATGAAGAAGAAGAATCTCATTTTTAAAAATTTGTGATTTATGAAAATTTGGTTTAAAGTTCATTTGTTTCATTTCAAATAAATTTGCACTCTTGCCGTACATTGCTAAGCGGCTTTTGGTCACCCCGTAGTACTTATCGCTCATCCGGATACCCAAGATATTTTTTATTACAGCATCGATGGCTTGTTTTGTAATTAAGGGGTCAATATCTCTATTAGTTTTTTGTTGCAAATGTTTGGCATTTTTAACGGACCATCCCACAAAATAAAAAGCCATATTTATTATTTCATAGGGAGACAATGGAAAGAGTTAAGAGACTGGACATCTGTGCATTGTTTTCTCTGTGTACACAAGAAACATTTTTTTGCCACACAGAATGAAACGTGTTCAGAAATAGACGATTATTGAGATATAACCTCAAACTATATGTATTTATCAAACTCTCGCAAAAATACTCGCAAGATTATAAATACTTTTCATATTGGAAGCATAGCTTACATAATATACCATCTGAAATTACATAATACTTACAAAAATACAAAATATTTAATATTTTTAACACTATGTTTTTACTAGAGTTCTTACAAGGTACCATATTTACAACGATTCTTTTAGCAGTTCAGTGAAATCACTAATCATACTTTTCCCGGGAAATTTAAACGTGTCCATTCTCTCCTTGTGTCCAAAGTCTCCCAGGCCTCCCCTACACTGGACTGAAATTATTTTTAGATAGTAGTCACGGTACCGCCACAAAAACATTGTTGTTTTGCTCATTTCGCTGGGCTAATAACATTTTTGGTGACATCTGCATTAGAACACAAAGGTGAACAGGTTTCACTTAATTATTCGTTACTAAGCAAATATCTTCTTTTCCAATTTTAACCTGTTAATCTGGTATTTTTTTTCAATTATTTAAAAACATATTAACAGTTTTTAGACAGTAACGAAATTTTGTTAGAAAAAATTGGTAAGAAAAATTATAGAATAGTGATAAAAAAAGCAAGTTTTAAACTGAGGAAAAGTTGAGGAAAAACTGGATATATGATTTAAAAAATATATATACCTTATATTTTTGTTGTGACTTTCTAATTTTGTCGTACAACTTTGCGTGATGGAGTGCTAAACCACAGTATACTGCAAAAGTTTCAAACGCTTCTTCGTCTTTTTTTGTAAAATTACCTTTATGTTTATTAACCATTTGAACAACTCCAATAATATGGCCTTGAATATAAATAGGCATACAAAGAATGGTTTGTGTCCTATATCCTAAAAAGATATATTTTTGTTAGAAATTTCATCTTTAAACAGATAAACACAGATGGACGGTTTGATAATAATAAATAAATTTTTCATCACCAGAACGTTTTGCTCTATAATCTAATAACACACCGGTAAAAATACAATATTTAACAAACACATTCCGAGAAAAATATAAAACTTAGCCTAAAGGGACAACAATATTAACTTGTAGTAAAGTTTATGGATGGAACTTAAATACTACATCACTGATTTTTTAAGTAGATGATAAATTCGTTAGTACAAAATTGCTCTAGTTATCATGTTTACGACAAAATGTGTTTTTTTTCTAGTTTTTGAACCAAAAGCAAAAAATGTTCCCTTTTTTTTTGATAACATCTACAAACTTTTACAGTCCGTTTCATAATAAAAATAAGAAAAATCTATACCACTAGTACCTTACGAAACTGGTTTCGAAACGACTGGTTTGGAAACGACTGGTTTGGAGAACAAAACAGAGCTGAAGAAGGGTTCTCTATTGGAGCCGGTCAAGTTTACATATCAAAAACAAGGAGTAAACGGGCAAATTCTCCTCGGATATTAAATACCCGAGCCTTGGCTGATCGATTTAACAATCTGTAATACATCTTTGGCCCATTTCCATAAATCCATTACAAACAACTCCTTTATTTGGCTTAAGTTCGAAGCCCTCTTAGAAAAATACCCCGACTACTATGAAATCTATACAGATGCATCCAAGTCTGAAGACAAAGTAGGGGCATAAATCGTTTCCTTAAAAAACAATCTTACCTTCACAAAAGCCCTGATCATAACAGATTCCCTGAGTTCTCTAAACCAGCGTTTCTCAACCTTTTACCAGTTGCGACCCAATTGTATTTAAGTATTTTTACTGCGCCCCCCCTCATACAATAAAAAATATATGAATCCAGGACCAATTTTCAGGGAGGGGGTGGTGCTACATGAACTTTTTTTGGTGGTACCGAAATTTTTTTAAGGCACTTTTCCCACTCTTGAGTACCATAAAGACAATCAAACCTTATCGGTATTAAAGTATATTTATTTGTCAAATTTTTTAGCCAGTCTCTCTGGATCCGTCTTTGCTCTAAACTTACAGTAAATCCTTAATTACCAAATTACCGAGAATAAGCAAATTTATTGATATGTGGCAACACCAATCCAGAACCTATCGTCTCTCTTCGCAAGAAGTTCCGAGTTCCGAGTTCTCCTCTCTCCTCCTCAGACCCAGACCTTGGTCGAATCAGTTTAGTCAGTCCTTCTGCACCTGTTAAATTAATTGTGAATGTTTATGTTGTAGTTTGCTTGTATTAATTGCAGTTCACGGTATTAAAATATTCCAAGCACTAAGTAAATATACTTAAATTTATACAAAATCATGGATAAATTTTTAACTGGGCGTAAGCGAGCATTCGATACTAGTGAAGCATCAACAAGTGTAAAGGCGAGAGTGATTCCAAAAATAAAATCAAGAAAATATTCTCAAGATTACTTTAATTTTGTGTTAACGTTTACTGAAGTAAATGAAGAAGAACGGTCCCCACATTTATCATTTGCTCAAAAATTTTAGCAGCCGACAGCATGAAATCAAATAAACTTAAAAGACATTTGGAAACGCTTCATAGTGAGTGCATTAATCAACCCCGAGAATTCTTCGAGTTAAATTAAAATCACATGAAAAAAACATGAAAAAAAACTTTGACTGTGAATGAAAAAGCTTTACTTGCATCTTATAAAACCTCCATCAAATAGCTAGATGTAAAAAGCCTCACACTATTGGTGAAGAGCTTATTTTTCCAGTTGCAATTCAAATTGTAGAAACTATGTTTGGAGATAATTTTTCCAAAAAATTGGAGTCTATACCTCTATCAAATGATACTGTTGCCCGTCGAATTTGTGATATAGCTGAAGATGTACAGAATCAGCTACTCGGGAAGTTGCGCGACAAGCTGTTTTCGATTCAGCTTGATGAGGCAACATATAGCAATAAAGATGCTCATTTTATTGCCTACGTTCGATTTTTGATGGCATATCATTAGTAGAAGAACTACTTTTTTGCAAACCAATAGAACTGAAAGCAACGTCGCTCGCATTATTTGCAATCTTAAACGATTATATAAATGAAGCAAAAATAGAGTGGAAGAATTGCGTCGGAATATGCACAGATGGTGCTCGTGCAATGTCTGGAAAATTTCATGGTCTACAAGTGCCTGTGAAACAAAAGTCTCCAATTTGTATATGGACACACTGTATAATCCACAGAGAAGCTCTGGCTTCCAAAGAAATATCTCCTGGCCTGAATATTGTGCTAACAACGGTTGTAACAGTAGTTAATTACATAAAAATGAGACCTTTCAAAACCAGAATCTTTTCTGCACTTTGTAAAGACATGGGTGCATTACATTCAGCATTATTATTTTTTTGTGATGCAAGATGGTTATCACGTGGGAAATTTTTACGTGTTTTTGATTAAGACATGAAATCGCTATTTTTCTAGAAAAAGAAAATAGACCCGAAGCCGGGATGTTTCGAGATAGTTTATTTTTGACGAAATTGAGCTACTTGGTTGACATATTCGAGAAACTAAATATTTTGAGCATTCAGCTTCAAGAAGCCAATACACATAATATATTGGATACGAGTGATAAAGTTAATGGTTTTTGTAAAAAAATGGAATTGTGGAACAGAAATTTAAAGCAAAAAAACCTAAAAATGTTTGCAAATATGGATGAATGTAGTGGCTTCAAAAGAATTGCGAGGTCATAAAGTACATCAAAACAAGAAAGCTGGAATATTTAGGCCACATTACCAGGGGTGCGAGATATGAGATATTAAGGCTCATAATGCAAGGTAAAATTAAGGGTAAAATATCCATAGGAAGATGAAGCATTACCTGGCTGAGAAACCTAAGAGAGTGGTATAGTTGCAGTTCAGTAGATCTTTTTAGAGCAGCCGCAGGTACGGATAGCTGTGATGATAGCCAACCTCCGATAGAAGAAGGAACTACAAGAAGAATATTAAAACTTACAAGGTTGAAGAACAACACGTGAAAGTTATTTTTGTAACCATTAAAAATCATTTAGCGATGCTGACTAAAAATGAAGTTATGAGTGGGTTAGGAACCCGTTCCAAATTACACCGAAAGGGCTCTCTACTGCCAAAGAAGAAGCCTTCATTGACTTCACGGCAAATGATGAAATCAAGAAACAGTTTAATAATAAATCCCTCTTTGAATTTTAGGCACGAGTAAATGATGAGTTTTCTGCACTGAAAACCAGAGCTTTCCATATACTGTTGCCGTTTTCAATATCCTACCTTTGTGAAACATCATTTTCTGCGGTGGCTGCTTTGAAGATCAAATATAGATCGCAGCTAAATATAGAAAAAGAACTAAGAACATCTATTTCTAATATTACACACTGTTTCGATCAATTTGGCTCTACAAACCAAGCTCAAGGAAGTCACTGATTTATTGTTAAACTTGTTTATAATTTAGTATTCAGTGCTCTTTATAATTATATCTGTTATATCAGTGTTCAAGTGTATTTTATTTTTTATTTTGTAAGAATTTTGTTTTGCTTTAATTTTAGTAAATTAGTCAATGTTGTTGATGTTTTTTTCGAATAGGCTCACGCCCCCCCCAATATTACCGTGCCCCCCTAGAGGGGCGCGCCCCACAGGTTGAGAATCACTGCTCTAAACTCATTAAAACATATTTTTCCGAAACATCCCTTTGCAAAGTTAATAAAATACCAGCTGCCCCAAGCTCATCAACATGGAAGACGAGTTTAATTTTTGTGAGTACCCTCACACGTCGGAATAACGGAAAACGAAGAAGCGGACGGGACTGCACGACCGGCAATCTTAACCGATTGTTCGGAGCCTATAGACAAGTGTGTTTCCAGTGACCTAAAGGTTATTTTAAAAATAAAGTGTTTAAAATAAATGGTCTCATACTAATTCTAAGCTAAATAAGATCAAGAGTAATGTTTCCCAGTGGATTCCATCGTCGCTTAACAGACATGAATAAATTGTGCTTGTGCATCTACGTCTAGGACATACCAAGTTAACACACTCTTACCTTTTCACAAAGAATAACTCACCCATATGTGATCAGTGTAACGTTTGATTAATAGTTGAACACTTTTTAACAAATTGTAAATATGAATAAGAAAGACATCGTTGCAATATTTCGAAATCTCTTACAGAAGCTTTAGGTCAGGAGTGTTCCTATGATAATATAATTAAATATCTAAGATCTATAAAAAATTTTTATAATTTGTAGTTATTTAGTTTTGTTATTTATATTTTGTTCCGTCGCTAATACCCTTTTGGTGGATGCGACTTTCTTCATTATTAAAAAAAAAGTAAACGGAAAAAGCAAGGAGTAAACAGGACGTTCTTTAAATACCACAAAATATCATTTGAAATTGAATAATGCTAAAAACAAGGATCGATGTCAAAAGATTAAAACCTACTTATCCAGGAAGTAGCCAATGTCAATCATTAACCTCATTGACCAGATTAGTTATTATCCATCTTATTGAAAAAATATTAGGTAATATAAAATGGCTAATATTCCTAAAACTAAAGATAACTAAAACGCGACATAAAAAAATTGAGACCTTAATAGAGCAAGTCATTGGAAACAACAGACCCCTAAAATACCATGGCCAAATCTAGAGTAATTTGAAATAGAAAGAGCTTTAAAAGAGCTAAAAAATAATAAAGCTGCAGGACATGACGATATAATTTGCAAGCTCTTGGAAACAAGCAAGACAGTAACAATCCCTATACTAACACAGGTATTTAATAGATGTTTTCATAATTTCAAAATCCCTGAAGACTGGAACGAGAGTTTAGTAGTACTCTTGCACAAAAAAGGGGACAAATGTAACCCAAAGAATTATAGACCTATATCGTTGCTCAGTTAAGTATACAAGTTTTTTTATGAGAATTATTGACAATTGGTTGACTTACAAAATGGATATTTA